CTTCCTATGAACAACTGCTGAATTAGGTAGGTAATACTCAATATTCCTGACCTGACCAGCAAAGTATTTGTAGCTGCATATTAGAGGAGAGATGGGGCTGAAGATGTCGGAGGTGAACTTGGGGTTAAAGATGACAAAACACTGGTTGTGTTGGCTTTTTTTTTTTTTTTTAAATAAAAAGCAAGTGTATGTGTTTGGGTGCAACTGCATTTCCCTCAGAAGAAACACAGGGAAGCCTTGATCTCAGACTTCTGTTGTAACTTAGGCATTTCTTGTACAGAAGCCAAAGTGTATCTAGTTGAGAATGGAGTTTCATCAATAATGTCATGGATTATATTTTTAAGTATGTGTGTACCTGCTTGCTTTTTGTGCCTAGTGATGCTATGTAATTCTATAAATTTTGTCTAAGCTTGAGCCATGGCATCGAGACTCCAAGTCAGAGCAGGACCCCTTGGTCCTTCACAGTCTTTGGGATGGAAGGTTTTCACTCTTGCTTGCCCTTTGAGGAAAGGCTGCTTGGGCCAGATTGGGACACTGTGGTGGTGTCCCATGGGGACCCTAGACCTTGCCCACTCTGTTGGGTCCCTGTGGCAGATGCTATCAAGCTGCCAGGGAGGTGACATTACCCTGCTATGAGCCTGGCAGTCCCTGAGACACAGAGCAAAAGAGGGCTAGGTAGGTCCATGACCAGGAAAGGAAAAAAAATCCAAAAATCTCTCCCCCCAAATATCCCATTTTTGTGAGAGCGCTCTGATCGTTCCTCACAAGAGCTCTGAGAGCAAACATGAGTTTTTCTGTTCCCGCATTGCTGTTTCTCTCAGACAACCCCCCCCGAGATGTCCTGCTCTTGCTGCCTTGCCCAGGAGGGACATGGCTGCACGGGCCTTGGCCCCTCGCAATGCTCCATCTGAGCAGCGTTTTGGAAAGGGATGGTCTGCAGACCCATGCACTTCCACTTGCACGAGTTCTTTTTTTCCCCCCCTCTTGTTTTTTTCCCCTCCTCCCTCCTCTCCTTTGCGCTCAGAAAACATCTGTTTCCAGATGTTGTTCTTGAGTCTAATAAATGCAGCGAAAGGCCTTGAGTTAATATATTTACAATAGCTGGAGATGTCGGCTGCTAGTTAATGGCTCGTTCGAGCACAACAAGACCCCCACATTTCCTGAGAGAAAAAAAAAAAAAGAAGAACAGAAAGAAAAAGAGAAGTGGGGTGGGGTTTTTCTCCCTAGTGAATGGCCTGAAAAGGGGAAGTTCTCAGGCAGTTTTGGAGATTACTGGTGGGATCGAGTGCACAGCCATCTCCATGCAGTTGGCTTCAACTTCCAGTTAGTGACAGGAAGGGCACTTTTTAAGCAAAGCCTTTAATAAAAAAAAAAAAAAAAAAAAAGAGAGAAGGAAAGTGAGGAAGTCCTGCTGCTGTTGCCTACCCCTTTCTCAGCCAAATGAAGACCTGCTGTAGATACCTTGCTGGTTTGAACCATGCACATAGAAGCGAGGATCTCATCCGTGCCCAGCTCCTCCGCTTCTGGGCTGTGGCGTGGAGTGGTTCATGCCCACGGTACTTACCTGGGGTCAAAGAAGGTTTATGGTCTCTTGCAATGAGACCACATTGTCCTCTGCGAGGAATCCCCATGTATCACTCCCCTTTGTGAGTGCTGTGTATCTGTTTCAGAGCAGCACTGGGCAACCTCTCTGTAAAACACTTTGCCCGTACAAATGCCCTGGGAAGGACAAAGTGCCAGTACCAGCTACAGACTGACAAACCTGGAGGCTTGAATACCTGTAGGTAACCAGCTTGTCAGACCCAGTGCCACGTGCTAGATGTGAAACACTTTCCTTCACTGCACAGAGGGGTTCAGCTGCTCTGGGAGGTATATATTGCTTTGTATTTGCTCCAGATTTCATTGCATGTTTGTGTTGAGGTCCATAACCACCTGGGAGGACCTGTTAGAAGCGTAGAAGTGTATGGTTAGAAGGTAGAAGTGTATGGTTACTGTCCTTGTAAGGAATTGCATCACCCTCCCTGGGGAGAGAGGGATATAGCCTCAAGCTTGGCTTATCGAGGGCAGTCTAGCTTGCTCAAAGAGTCACCAGTCAGTGAAATTGCTCCCTTTGATTGCAACTGAGCATCTGCTTCTACCTGACCAGTCTCAAGAGTCATGAACTTGCAGGAGGACTGGTTTCAGGTCAGCACCCACCTCCCCTGAGGCTGCTGAGAGAGCTGAAGGTTGGGTTGTGCTCAACTCAAGGAGCAATGAGATGAATCAACATGCCAGGGCCAATTTCTGGAGGCAGCTTGTTTGACAAGCAGTGCTGCAGACTCGACATGCACAGCTGGCTCAGGTTCGTAGCTAAATTAGTCCATTTTTATTGGCACGGGATGACAGGGCTCCTTAATGCCTCATGGATAGAAAAATTACCCTCCTGCACATCTGCAGCTAGGGCTTCTGCATGAAACGCGGCTGAGCGTGGCTCCCCAGCCTGCAGCAGCTATGACATACCCCCCAAATGAACAGATCAGCTGGAGAGGGGCTGGCGGGGAGGCAGGAAAAGGCACTTACAGAGTCATTCAGGCGATGCTCGTGTCTGGACAGCAGGATCTCTATCACAAATCAGAGCGAAGGAGCAGAGAGCTCTCCCCAGCCAGTGTGGGGAAATGAAATGTAGACACCCAACAGATTTCCGTTTTCAGCTTAGAGGGCGCGTTTTTGTGATTTTAGTGCTTGGGCTGGTATAAAGGGGAGAGAGAGAGAGAGAGAGTGAGACAGCATTCAGTGAAACTATACGTAACACAGGCAGGTAGCTGCAGTCATCAGCAGTTCAACACCCATCTTTAAGTAGAGCTCTGTAGGATGCCCTGCATCCCAGTTGCCAGCTGTTATTTCTCTATGTAGATCTCTGCTTCCCAAAGATTGTATCATCAGCCTCTAAGCATCTCCCCTTCATTTCTCACGGTCTGCGTGTTTGTTGTGATAACAGATGGCATCTTAGGTAACTCCATGGACCACAGTTTCTCTCTGGCAGAGCCACAGCCTCAAAGACTCCTTTTCCTTTTTCAGAGAAATAGGCTGCAAACACAGGCATAGCTGGAAGAGACTGAGCAAGGGGTAGGAGAGTGGAGCGGCTGCGCCTCCCAAACAAATACACCCTGCATGTGCTGGGTCTGTGGGTTACACAGCACTGCCCTGTTTGTATGAGAAACTGTTGAAAGGCTGCAGCCATCAGAGGGGTGTTCTCCATGCGTGGCGGAGCAGCAACGCGAATTTGAGCAGAGAGATGACAAGAAACCTGCTAAAAGAAATAAAGAAAGGATTTCCTGCCTCGCAGACGCTAAAACCCCATTTCGGGAAGTGAGTGGCTGTGAAAGGCATGAGGCCATTCAAAGAATTGGGGCTGTGTGCTACTGGGCCCTCCAAGGGTTTGTCTGATGGAGAAGAAACAGCTCGTGCTCACTTTAACCTGCTCCCAGAAGGTCTGTTTCTTCCAGCCCCCTGAAACAGAGACTGGGCGAGAGATGAATATGAGTTTTCTCTGCCAGTAATTTCCAGCACAGACTGCACGCAAAATCTTCATTTAAAACGTGTAAATGACAGCGAAAGAGCCACAAGGGAGCCAGATTTTAAGAGACCAATTTGCTGCCCCGGGTTTTAGTGACTGTGCACCACAACGGGCCCCGTGCTGCTTCGCTGCTGTGAACACTCAAGAAGGGGATGGAAGGATGGACAGACGGACAGTCGGGGGCTCAGCAGATCCTGCCTGTCACCCTGGAGGATAAAATATGTCATGCCTGGAAAAACTGGGAGAGGTGAACCTCCCTCGCTCCTGAAGAACAGAGAGGCTTTGTTTCCCAGGCGCGTGGCTCAGAGCCGCCCTACGGCACGTATCGGGGAGACTGTTCCCTGCCAAGGGGGTTTTCTGTTCAGCGCCCCATGCCCGGCGGGACGTGGAGGAGGTGATGGGAAGCTCTGCTTCACTAGAGGGCCTCAGCAGATTAATTCCTCTGAACGCCCTTGGTGCGCCCCAGGCTCAGCAGGTTGTACGTCCAAGTCAAGCCCAAAATGTTCTCCCCTTGTGCTGCAACTTGCCCGCCTGGGGTGTTGCTTCCTGCTGCCCTTTGCTTGCTTTTTGCAGAGCCCTTATCAGCCAGCTCTTGTTTCCAGACTTTTCCCTCTGGTTCTTACCCTGCCTGGCTGCTCTCCTCGGAATATTGGGGTCAAAACACCCCATCACTGGTGCCTCGGGGCTGCCCTGGGGTCTGCGTGGGGGTCGCGACAGCCCATTTACACCATCCTGTAAAATGCCCTTCGGCTGCGGGGAGGAAAGACAGAGGCAGGCTGGTGTGAGCCCAGCCTCTGCTTTACAATCTCTTTCCTGCCACTATAAATAACCTCGGTGAGAGACACTTCAAAGGGGAGAGCTGGCGGTGGAGAGGTGGTTTGGGGACCAAGCGGGACAGGGGCGTCCCACTGCCCAATCCCACCCCGGCGCTTTGCATAAATAAATAAATCATGCAGCACAGGGAGAGGTGGGGAGAGAGGGCGAGCAGAGGAGGTTACTTTGGGAAGCCGCGCAGCTCGCTCATCCCAGCGCCGTAGTTCGGAGGGAGTGTGTCATGTTACAGGGGAGCCACGATCAGCCAGAGCACAGCGTTGCCGGAGCAGCTGAGAATTACCTCTCGCTAATGGGGACTTTCATGTGCGAGCTCCTGGCCGGTCTGCGAAGGAACTGAAACTGGCAGCTTAGAAGGAAACAAACAAACAAACAAACAAATCTACCAGCGAACCGAAAGACTGAAACACAGGAGGAAAAAAAAAAAAAATCCTGATCAGTTTTTTTTCCCCCCCTCCCACTGTTTGTTGCAGTTGGATCCTTTTTTTTTTTTTTTTTTTTTTTTTTTTTTTTTTTTTTTTTTTTTTTTTTTTTTTTTTTTTTTTATTCTGCACGCCTCTTATGTGTGTGTGGTTTGTTTTTATTTTTTAAAGATTCCCCCCCCATCCACTTTTGTCATTATTGCTGTTATTTGTTATTTGCTGGCGCTGGGATCCCCTTGGACGCTCTTTTTTCTATGCCTTCTGGATTGTGCTTTTCAGAGTAGGAGTGAGGCTTTATTTATTCTATTTATTTATTTATTGTTTCTCAGGACAGGGAGGGAATGTTGGAGGAGAAGAGTTGGAAAGGCGTCGGCGAAGCAGCTTTTGACAGGGGGTGCGTGGCTCCCCCCAGGACCAGCGACGGGGAGAGATGCTGCCGCCTCCCTCTCCTGCTGGGCTCGGGGCTGCCCGGCGTCTCCCTGCTCTCTCTGGTGCTGAGCCTCCTGCTGTACTTTCGGACCTCCGATCTGCAGTCCCGGGTGTCCCACTTGGAAGCAGACAGGCCCACACAGCTCCCTGCCTGGCTCTCAGCAGACCAAATGGAGACAGCTATTTTGGGAAGAGTTGACCAACTGCTTGATGAGGTCGGTGTCCTTTCATTTAGCATGTATAGTTTGCAGTGCTATAGATTTGAGGCATGTGCATGCTCACATAGTCCCATTATCTGTTTTTTTTCCTCCCTTAAAAATGTATTTCTGCACAAGTGATGCTGCTAGGTTGGATTTCCCATGCCTTCAGGTCCCTCCCACCTCTCAAACCTGCCTGGCGTTTCTTCCCGCTGCCCCAGCCCACACTGTGCCTCAGCTCCGGCACTTTGCAAAGGGGGAAATCTCATCCCTGGTCCAGGCAGGGAGGGAAGAACCTGCAGCCCTCTCCGTCTGGTGACTGGTGACATTGCCTGACAGAAGGGTTAGAGCTAGAGGTTAAAGCTGGGTTTGAGCCCTGAGAGAGGGACAGGCAAGGTGTGCTACAGCTGGTATGGCTACAGGAGGAGGTAACTGCAAACACACCAATGTCGTGATGGACTGGCTTTGCTGCTGTGCCAGCCCTGACCCCTTCCATGGCTCCTGGCTCAGGAAAATGAGACATACTGTCACTGCCAGGATAGTTTCTGGTATTGCCAGAGCATCAGCATATGTCTGCTGTGCCCACTTGAGCCTCATCCAAACTCCACTGAAGCCAGTGGACTCTTCCTCAGAGGATGAGGGAAAGCTGCTGCTGAAGAAGCCTGAGCTTCAGCAGGTCAATAAAGAGGGCCCAAAAGTGCAGATTTTTGTTGCTGACGCCTTTTATTTTGCTGTGCTGATGCTGCTGGGGGCTGCCTGGGCTTCTCTGCCCTGGGCAGGATGAGCATCCTGCAGTATTCCTTGCCTCGTCGGGGCTTTGAAGTGGTTTTGACACGTGTCAGGGAGCAGATGGTGGCTCACATCTCTGAACTCTCCCGGCAGGTCCACACTGACCTGTTCCCACAGCTCTAGGGGACGCCTGGGGCTGCGATTCAGGGCTGGGGCTGTTTTTACCCACCTTTTTCTCTGTTTACTCCAGCCTTGGCTTGAGACAGGCTGGAGAGATCCCTGGGGCTGGCCCAAAAGCTGGTTTTGTGTCTGAAAAAAATCTTACGTGCTGCTTTTACTAAATGAAGTGAGGAGTGGGATGATCAGAGTGGTGGCTACTGGGACCTGCCTTGGGGCAACGCTGCCTGGCACCTGAGGACACCCCCACCCCAACTTTCTAGGAGCTGTGAAGATCCGCGGTGAGGAGTTTAAACCTACAGCTGACAGGCTTGGCTACTGTTTATGGGTCTGGTGGGAGTGGTCCCTGCATCAGCTGAGGTTTGCAGCCAAAAGCTGTGAACTTCGAGTTAGCAAACGCCGTAGGAGCTCAGGGATGTGGTTTTGAGTGGCCTCTTTGGGATGAGGAATAAGGGGAGACAGGGTCCATGGGGCAATACCCCATAGGAAAAAAGCTTTTGGGGGAGGCAGAAGTGTTGCAAGTGGCTGGACCTGTGCCCTGCAGTCGCACCCTTTCACAGGGACTCCTTTCACAGGGACACTGAGCAGAGGATAATGTGTAACGGTCCCCTTGACGCTGCTGGCACGAGTCTCCTGGGAAGTCACAGTTTATCTCTACCAAGTGATTTGAGACGTACCACAGGATGCCTCCTGGGACTGGTGCCCGGGGCCGGATGGCCCCCTGTGTCCTGCTGGCTCTGCTGGCTGCAGCACCTTTCCTCCTTTTAATAACCCAGCTTAGAGAGGAAATGGGGCTCTCGTGGTGGCCACATGCCCGGCAGCACCCCAGTTTTCTGAGCAGCCCCTCCTGAGCCCCTTTGGGGTGGGCCCAGCCCCTCTCACAGCCAGTGCGGGGAGCAGCCATGGGACAGGGACCACTGCTTGAGGGGCCAGCACTTGCTCCCAGGTACCATCGGGGTTACCAGTTCCCTGCTGGGCCACAGCTTCAAAAATAGCTTGGAGAAAGGTGCCAGAGCCTGTGGAGGAGCAGAGATGCCTGGTCCAGGTCTCCTGTCCCTTTACACCTGGGAAGTCCTGCTGCCTGCGGGGGGAGAAGGGCTGTGCCTCCTGGGGAGGAGACCCTCTCCAAATCCGCTCCAGACTTTAGCTAAGCTCTTCAAACAGCTACTTCAGACCTTCACAACTCAGCCAAAGGTACTGGTGTGGGCCAAGCAGCTCGAGGTGCAGGGTGGGGGTCTGCTGGTGGACAGATGGTGGGGTGGCATATGGGGCTTTTGCTTAAGAAAGAAAAACAAATCCCACTGGTCCTCATTTTCATTAGTTCTGAAGTGGGGCTAAGTTAGATGGGTGTCCCAGACTGGCTGTTGAGGGGCAAGAAGGATGGAGAAAAACAGGAAAGGTAAAGGGAAGCTGGGAAAGGATGGGAGAAGAAAAATGAAGAAAATGAGAGACTGGTCTGAGTATGAGCATGAGGAGAACGTGACTGGGGGTAGAGGGGCTGTGGCCGGGACTGCTGTGATGGACATGACAGCAGGATATTCATTCCCCCCTGCTCAGACGCTCACTGCCTCTCACTGCCACATCCTCACGGTTTCCTGGTGTTTCGACCTTAATGGGTTTCACAGCTGCCAGCTCAGTGTTATCCATCACAGAATAAAATAGCAAAGCTTTAAAGAAACCCTGGCTTTGGAAAGAGCTGGTCTGAGCCAGGCAGGGAGGTGAGGGGAGCCACGGGCATGGAAGCACATTTCTAGCTCTGATGGCTGTGAAGATCAGTTGGAGGGATGTGAAGAAGTGAAGTCTGCAGTGGCTGATGGCGGAGCTCTGAGGTTATGCTCAAACCTGTAGTGCTCTGTGCTCCGACCTGGACTGTGGCACGTTTGTGCCTAGGCGTGCCCTCGAGGTTCCCAAGGGTCTGTGAGCAGCTGTGGGGACACTGTACGGATTGCACTGAAAAGGGCAAAATGCCAATTCCTGTTAGGTGCCCTTCTTCCAGACAAGCAAAGGTAAAGCAAACTGGCAGGGAGAGGAGCTGGGTTGGTTTGTTTCAAATGTTAATTTAAAGCCAGATGGTGGGGATGTTTTCCTGGTGTTGGAGCCCAGTTTGGGAGCACCTGCAGCTGGCTGTGGCAGTGTTTCTGTTTTGGTTCAGGATGAGCAAAGAGAGGGCCGCAGATGCTTTCCCAGAAGCAGCCTGTCCAGTGCTGCTTCACTTGTTATTGTGTAAACTTCTGCCTGGTGTCAGTGAATAGCAGAGGGGAATTTTTTGTGAGGCACAAATTGACTGAGTTTTCCCACAAAAACATCTGTGTGGAACGGGCCAGAAGCAGGTAGTTCAGGAAGAACTTTAGCTCCATGTAGGAATTCCTCTGCATTTAGGGGATATCATAAAATCGCATGAAGAGCACAAATAGACTCACTACTGGTATGTGCAGTAGAGACAAAGCTCTCCAAAGAAGAAAACAAGGTCCTTTCCCATGCTGGGTAACATTTGGTACCGTTTCATTTGCCAAAAGCTCGTCAGGGTGGAGAGCAAGATGGATTCAATGCTGCTGCTAGGAAAAAAACCCAGGATTTGTGTGCTTGTGGAAGTAGAAGTGTGTGTGTAACACAACAGCAGTTATCCTGTAAAGCCTGGGGGAAGATCAGCTGCCCCTCTGCACTGTGATGGGTGCGTTCAGCCTCTCAGGGGCTTGTGCTGAAGGTATTTGTTGTGGCTTTAGTGATGCCGAAGGGATTCAGGGGCTGTGCCATGGATGGGGAGGGAGCATTGATCCTCACTGCTTTCCCAATGGGGTCATTTCCCTGGGACTCTTTCCTTACTTATGCAAGCAAAGAAGTGACACCTGAAAACTCCCTTTCCCTCCTGACCTAAAGCATTTTTTCCCTCCTTTGCTTCAGTGTCTTAAAGCACACTGCTCAATTCTGCTTCCCAGGATCAGCAAGATTGCTCTAGGCATCCCCTGCCTTGTTTAGCTTAGTGTTTTCCACCCCAAAATAATGAGATTTTTTTTTTTTCTTCCAGTTTCTCTGGTAGCTAAGCCCTATTTCCTTTCAACCGTTTGCAATCCTTGAATCTAGATGGTGTTATTTCCAAGCGTTTCGCTCCAGCTGGGAGGGCTCACTGCTTGCTTTGCTCTATGCCACACAGTCCTGCAATTCCAGGAGCTGGACCTTTAAGAAAAAGCAGCGAAATTGGAGATAAAACAATAAGAGTTAACAAAACCACCCGCCCTTGAAATCCTCCTGATGGTTGTAATAGATTATCTATTTGAAACATGTTTCTTTTAGCTGTTGGAGATAGTGGTGGGAAATGATTTCACCTCCCTGGGTGACTGCAAACAACTACTTCTGTTAAAGAGCTATTAATCTGCCCCCTTTGAAGAAGTGCCCTCTCTTTCACCTAATCTCAAGTGCCCATCCAAAATAGACAGGCACTTGCAAGGTTTAGGCGGCCACAGCCATGGTCTTTCAATGTCAGAAGAGATCTTGCTTTCACTGCTCTGGCCACCCAAGCCAGCCCTGTCCTGTCATGCTAGTGGCGAGTTAAAACCCACAGGAAAAGCCCGGGCTGTCTCTATTGCCCACTCCTGGCCTTGCCTTCTTGCAGTCAGAGACTTTTTCCCTTTCCTCTGCACTCAGCCATGTGCAATAGCTCCCTAAATACAGAGGTGCACAGTCCCCGCGTCGGAGTCACTCAGCTGTGGCCCCAGTGCTGGCAAAAGGCTTTTCGGCCACTTCCATACGTACAGCAGAAGGCACAGCTGTTATGTCACCCGAAAACACGACAAGCGAGAGCAAGCAGGCTGTGCTGACAAGCCAATCCTCCCTATACGGAGTGCTTTCAGCACTTCTGCCAGGGCAAGAGGTAGCCAGTTGCGGCTCTGATGTTTCATGCTCTTAAGTGTCTCCCAGGTGCAAAAGCAAACCCAGAAAGGAGATCGCAAACACTAGATTCCCAGAGACCACGTTCTTTTATTTTTGCTTACAGAATTCAACCTTGCCCTAAAATGGAGTGGTTTTCCGTTGCCTGGGAATGAAAGTTTTCTCTTGGATAGGCCAGTTTTAGAGGGAAAGCTCTTTCTTTTTGCTGTCCTGAGCAAAGCTGGCTTCTTGTGTTGGACCAGGTGGTATTTTGCACGGTGGTAATGAGAGAACCAGAAAAGGCCAGGACTTCATTTCATTTCACCATCTCAACCCAAAGTTGAACTGAGGTCTCCAGAAGCCAAGGATTTTTTTTCTCTTGCAGTCAATGTTTGTTTAATAGATTGTGCAGGAAGCAGAACTACAGCGCTCTGAAATTCCTGGTGGGTTTTGCCTCCCACTGAAGGGGGGGAATCACACAACATCACTGCCCTTTACGCTCCTTAGGGATGTGCAGAGCTCCTGGGCTCCAGGGAGGCACCGCAATGGCCAGGGATGGAGAAAATGCCAGTGAGTGCCTGATGGCTGCATGGTACCTGTACTTGGGGCTGTCCTCCCAGCCCTGCCCAGCAGCACCCGCGCCTCCCTCCTGAGGGGCCCCCATCCTTGAGAAGGCTATTTCAGTTATCCCAGGTATTTCCAGTTTCCTGACCCTGCAGATAAGTTGTGGAGAAATGCTATTGCTCTTGTTCCTCTCCCAGTCATGCTCAAGTCCTGCTGGGTCATCACTTCCTTGATAAGTCCAGTTACGCTGCTCCTCTCCTTGTGAGCTGGCAGAACAACACAGCCAAGGCTTCTTACAGCAAGCCCTAATTCTGCCTTCCCTCCCCGCACCGTTGCCTCTTGGCCCCTGGGGTGCCTCTGCACTTGGTGGGACAGGGATCTGTTGCATATTTCCTTGCAGATTTCTGCCCTAGAAAGGGCCCCGCTGCAGCCAGGGTGTTCGGACCCTTGCTGGTTAGGAAATGACTTTCTACTCCAGCCTGCGTGAACCATCACCCCTCCCTCCCCTGTGCTAAGCCCAACTCCCAAAGATGGGAACCCCACCCAGATGCAGCACTCTGGTGTTCAGACATTTTGTTTGGCACATGTGTAGATGGAAACAGGAACGCGTATGTCTACATACCAGTCTGAGTATCCAAATAAAGGCTCCGCTGTCCTATTTGTGCCCATGTTTGACCATTAGCACGAAGTGTTCAATGCCAGGCAGAGCTGCAGAGCAGAGCCGTGCCATCTGGGGGTGGCAGCTAGATGGGAACGTGCCCAAATGGAAAGATTCACATATCCGTGCTTTTAAACTGAGAAGATAAAATGCTGTATGGGAACTGGCAATTCTCCTCATGTGAAACCCTCTCCTCACCCTGATATCAGATCAGCTCACTACCAAAACATTTCAGTCTACCATGCAAAAAAAAACCCCTCTGAAAATATTCAATTTCTAGTCAGTCACAACAACTCTCACTGATTTTGACTTGCAATAAGGAAGGCGGTCCTTTCAAAGTGAAAAATGGAAGTGTTCCAGCCAGTTCTGCCTTCCCTCATCCCAGGAAGAAATATGTTGCTTTATTATTTTCTCTCTAAATTTCTCTCTAAAAGAAATTCTCTCCAAACTGATGCCTTCTTGCAGAAAGGTGCTCACTTGCGAAAACTGAGTAATTTCTATATGATCCTGGGCACGGGCTTCTCTTGAGCCCAACATGAGGCTGTTTCTTTCGAAATGTTGGCCCCGGTTGTGAAATAGGTCAGACAATAAGAAGAAGGTGCAACTGGGATGAACAGTTGGGCTTGAGGATTAGAAGGGGAGGAGTGATGCCTTAACACAGGCACTCCTGCAGCTCAGTCTTCTCAAATAATCTCAAATCATTAACCAAGCACGGTTCACAGGCATTAATGAATAACTTATTTGGATTGATTTGCATTTTCTTCACTAAATCACACTTATTTAAGTCTATGAGGGGTGGTGTAGATGCTGTCCCTAAAGTGCGTTTTGCTCAGGACATGGGTCAATTTTAATGATATTTCCAGTGTGGGAAGATGGGGTGGACTCTATTTCCCCTTTAAGAGATACAGAGATGGTGCCAGAGAGCAGGAGGCTGACACGCCAGCACCATTAGAAATCCAAACTCATTGGAAATGACCATTTGGACATAATTCCGCCTTCAGGAAGCTCTTGATAGGTTTTGTCTTGTTCTGCACTTAGAGAAAAATTAAGTTTCACAGCCTCTGAAGGTTTCAGGAAATGCTGTTGCTGTTTTCAGGCCACCTTCAGCTGCAGTTTTTCAGTGGGACCCTTCTGTCTGTCCTGGTGTCTCCATGATCATAAGGCGTCTGCCACGGAGGGGAAGAGTACCTGCTTCATATCTCCATTTTTCATCCGCTGAGAGGGTCTTCTGAGAAACACGACTTTCTCATGAGGACTCAGTCACCTCTTTATTTGCCACTGCTGGCTCTTGATTTTGTAATGTCTGTCAGGAGGACCACATTTGGAGGCCATTACGAAACTCCCTCAGCCTGCTTCCAATCAAACCCCACATTTCTAGTTAAAGACTATGAACTTTAATGTCTTTCTTCGTTCCCAAACTGTTTTGCTAAGTTTCTCCCATCTCTTCCCAAAATGTTCTGCTCTGTCTCTCCTATCTCTACTTGGGCAGCATCCCACAGTCCCACTTTTCTAAGAATTTGAGGCTTTGGTTTCAACGGTATTAATGAATCAATTTGGTCTTTTTTCCTCCCTTGACAGAAATTAAAGTTCCACTTGCCAAGACACCGCGAAGTTCGAGAGACACACCAGCGATGCAACTGCCCGGCAGGTAGGGATCTGGGACGGCTAGCACTTTGGAAGGGCCCTTTTTGCCTACATCTCGTTGAAATATTTTTTTTTAATACCGTGTGGTATATGAATACAAAGTTACGTGTACTTGTGTAATGGTGTGCAGAAAATCAATATGGAGATGTGCATAACAAGTCAGGCACATGTGTAAATATTAACTCTGCATATGACAGAAACAGTGGAAACAGTGATAGACATCCAGGCAGTCATCTAGGTAGTCAATAAAGAAAGATACAGCTAGAGGGCAAATGTTCCCATTCATTTTAGACATCAATTTTGAAGTGGGCAGAATGGCTCTTGGGAGGTGCATCTTCCTTGACTGATTTGAGAAGGTTTGAGACATGCAGGCTAGACCCAACACCAAAGCTGAACAGCTAAATTTTGGTGAGCCAAAGTGCCTCTGGGGTGAGAAGATTTGAATTCCTTGGTGTTATACAACTATCCGAGGCATCTTGCAGAATACCAGCCTTCTGTTAGAAGCAGCCATTTATCAGGGGGTTGAAGTGGTCACTCAAGGTCCCGCTCATATAACATACAGAAATATTATGGGATTGCTTAATTGCATTATGTTTTTAATCATGCTAATATCAAAAGGCTCTTTGAGACACATCTTCTGAAGTGGTTTCAATACAATAAGTGACAAATTGCTATGGAAAAAACATTTGTGAATGGCATTTCATTCCATTGCTATGAATCATTCAGCCTTCCTCATTGTCTTTTGATGCATTTGGCTGTGTAGAAAAAAATAGAGAAGTGCCAGCCACCACTCACACCCAAAGTCAAAGGTTTGGAAGAGTTTGAATCTGTGTATCCAAACTGAGTAACTGAAACACGCCTTGAAAAGAAAGAGGCAGAGAAAGTTATGTTTGGATGAGCATCTGAAAGTGGCATTTCCATTTTCTGTGGTTCTTCCTTTGGTTCTCTTTGGTGCCCAATGTGTGGGGTGTTTGACAGTGTCTGGTGGTACACGTATCAAGGGGTGTTTAAGTATGGTCAACAGTGGGATAATGGTAAATGAAGGGGGCTGTCTAAAGACCAACGTGTTTAGACCCGTTTACAGAAATAGGAGGTATCGTCTCTTGTCAGACTAAAATGAATTTGTAAAGAAGTGGCTTGTAAAAGAGGTAAAGCTATACAGGTTTGTGAAAATGAACTATATGGAAAAGAACTAAAGTCCAGGATCCAGACTTGCAGAATGTTGGAAAATGCCTGATTTGACTAGTCCAGATCAGGACTGTTGGACTTTCTTTTTAGTCCCAGAAAGAAACATCAGGACCTATTTTGTTTAATTTTAAAAGACAATCTGAATGAAATGTCTTATAAGTATCTCTTCTCCAATGATCAGATCACAACTGAGTTCAAGTGCTTTTAAATTTCAACCCTTTCCCTACAATGGGAACAAATCATAGCACTGCTCCATTTTCAAGTTCCTGCCTAGTCTTGACTTATAAATGCCATAAACCCACAGGAATGAATATCCTCCTGGTTTTTCTGAGCCAGCTTGGAGAAGGAAACTTAGAACTTGAATGCAGAGCAGAGAAAAAAGAGATTCATTGATTTTTGAGGCCATCTGAATGTGACCCCCCGACACCATGTATGTGATAGATGAATTGCCTGAGTATTTCAACATCAAGATCATAGTACGTGGTTACAGATACCCACATCCCCAGTGAAGCCTCGGCAGCAGTCAGTGCTGGATTTCTCATAACGCTTAGGTACCTGCTCATTCCGTTAATCTCATAATATTTCTGAAGGACTGCTTTCATTCAGGAGAACAATAATAAAAAATGTCTCATAAAAGTCCAGGCTTCCTTTTCTACCTGTCAAACTTGCTCGTCTTCATCAAATATCCTACAGATACAGAAACTATTTGTAAAAATTTCCCTCACCCTACCAGCTAATGTGTTGAGGGAAGTGACGCTATGGTCCAAAGCTGATGTTGTGGCAGGTGAAGTCTTTGGGCAGAAATGAAGGGACCTTCAGCTAGCCATTGTCTCATCTCAGACCCTTTGCTCCAGGGTGTTTCCCTTTGTTTCCAGACTGATGGAATGCTGGCCACCTGAAAGCACTGTCATGCTGTTTCAACATGGTCTCTCTTCCTTATCCCCAATGCCTTTTTTTTTTCCCCTTGTGTTTAAAATGCCCTAAGGACCAGACAATGTGACCCTTGTGGGAGACCAAGGTATTCAGAAGCACTGAGAAGCATCAAGATGTTGCAAGACTTGGCGCATGCCCATTGCTTCTCAGTGGCCCGCTCCACTGCCTATAAACACATCATGTTCCTCACCAAAAATAAATGTTCATCAGAAATGGCATTTGCGTTAAACCCTAACTGTTAGCATGGCAAAAAAGGGGAAAAAAACCCAAGCTAATTTGCTGACCTGTTCAGTATGGATGTGGAGGTCCTGGGCAGGGTCACCCATCGCCGTAGAAGAGCTTCAGGACAACAGGGGATTGTGAATGTAAATGGTTTGGAAAAGCTGGGAATAGGGGAACAAGAAGACTGTGAAGTGTGTGACTGTGCTGTGGCTATCTGAGCATGCGTGATAAGGACCACAGGAATGACACGGTCAGGAAAACAGGGCAGCTGTATTTATAACAATCAGGAAATAAAAGTTTCCTTCAGCTGGGAACCTGCTCATTCAGATTACTTGGACTAGGGCTGGGTGAGACTACCTGTGAGTGAGATGTTGTTCTTTGGCATTGTGTTTTTTGAGCTCAGAGGTTGCAATGAACTTCTCCAGCGGTGTCTCAGTGGGGAGGACACAACTCCCAAGGTTAGCACAACCTTCCTGGGTAATTAGACTCATTTGCCTTTGTCTGGCAGATAACCTGTGTGATTCCTTCTGTTCCCACCATCTGCCAGACTGATTTGGGGGACAACTTCATACAGGTTGGGAAAAGGTCCTGAAGCCTCAATGGCAGCAATGACTGTACCCAGCTATTCACCACCAGTGTGGACAGGGAGCTCAGCACATGTTTTAATCCGTCATTGTGTGCTAGGATGAGACTTGGGGATCTCTTCTGGGACAGAGCAGATGCTGGTGAGACCACGGGTCTGATCTCTAGGACTGACCCTCCCTTCGTGACTTTTGATCAGATGAGGGAGATGTTTCTTTCCCATATGGGATGTGGATGTGGCTGAGAGCTCGGGAGAGCTACCTGAGGCTGGAGGATCTTTTCACGGCCAACTGACCTCCCTTGGTTTCTGCCATGTAATAACAAAATGCTGCAAGGGAAAAGCATTGTGTTTCAGGTTGACAGGGTGAAACCCTAAGTTTTCCTGGTCTAATCCAGACCCAACTGAGGTCCAGACCCTGTCTGCCTGGACAGTCTCAAACAAACAGGGATTACCATCAAAACCCCTTCCCACAGCCTTCCTGGTGGAGGTGGGCGCATGTGTATTTTATATACACAAGCTCTTTATTAGACCTTCCCCATCTTCCTCTCTTCAGCTCCTATTTTCACAGTCCCCACGTGGCTGCTTTGCACTCTGCTGGCTCTCTGCTCCAAAAAAAAAAAAAAAAAAAAGGATGCTGGCTCCTTTCCCTCTGCCCCTGCAATGGTTGTTTTGGTCTGGTTTCTCCTTAGGTAGGTTGGGAGCCCGCAGCGCTGGAGGCGGTCAGCCGAGTGAGCAGGGAATTGGCTCAGGGGGATGTCGAATGGCTTTTCCATCCCTGCCTGTGGCAGCACTCGGGGGCAGAGGAGGGAGCTGGGCTGCGGGAGGAGGCAGCTCTGGCTCGGTGGGCTGCTGGGGCCTGGGACTGGTGGTCAGAGGGAGATTGCACAGCCCTTCCACAAACCAATGTGACTTCTTTCTTACAGGGGTTTTGAGGCTGGTGTGGGGCAACTGGAAGGATTTTGGCATTGGCCAGGAGCTGGGGTCCTCTTGGCAGTGTCTTTGTCCTATGGACATTTCTTCTCATGCAAAACCTCACCCATGTTCCCTGTCTGCAGTAGCCTGGGATGCAGGGAACGCTGCTTGGCCACTCTTTTCAGCTCTTACAGAAATACCAGTAGAAGCTGCCACAACTCAAAAATGTTGCTGCCATTTCCCTTCTGGCAGGGTGGCCCACGAGAGCAAAGGTGCAGCAGTAGCCCCAGTTGCACCCCGGGGCTGTGGGCCACATGGTGTGCACATTTGGTCCAGGCATCCTGCTTGCACCCTTGGGTGCCCCCGTCCTGTGGCGGCTGGACTCCTCGGCACAGTGGCAGCTGCTGGAGGAGGGCAGCAAGAAACGGCGCGGGGCTGCAGCGGGGCTTTGGCTCCCACCCAGGATGTGTCACCCAGAGGTAGCAGGTCCAGCTGGCAGGAGGCAGCAGGATTTCCCACCTCCTGACCCCTCCTGGCCCCACGGGCAGTCAGCAGAGGGAGGAAATATCAGTAAGGGCAGGACCTTGCTGGTGGAAGAGGAGGTGGTGGGGATGGCTGCAGCGGGGCCAGGCGCCTGGGCAGCCCAGGCTGAGCCCCAGGCAGGATGTTGCATCCAAATGGATGCATCCATTTCTCCCTTGGGATACTTACCTCCTCCCCAGATGCCTCTGGGCAGGCAAGCCAAAAGAGGGTCAGGGCCCAAGTCATACCTGCTCACCCCTACCCCACACCCCAGCTAGGGTGTTCTGCCTCTTGCCAGGTTGTTTTCACAGCTTTTATGTTTTCTTGCTGTCATTTTTAATGCGATCCTTTTTCAGCTTGCTGGGACTGCTTGGACAGATCTGAGTGCTCCTGTGAGATTAACAACCTGAGCACACTGGTGAGCCCTGAGAGGTGGAGAAGGTGTTTGGGATCCCTGGCTTGGGGCTTGTGGGAAGGTCACCCTGGCTATTTAAATGCTGGCAGCCACGAGCCATGTCGGTGGCCCTGGCTCAGAGCCACGAGGAATGCGAGGTGGGAGTGTGCAATGAAACACCCATACCATGGCCCTGCTGTCAGGAGATGTGCACTGAACTAGTTGAAATGCTACGGTTTTGTGTTTGACC